TTAATTCCATCCACATGAAAGTAGTCAGGCATTGTTGAGACCATGATATTTGTTTCACATGTAGCGACCAATCCTCTGTGCTGTAAGTACTAACACCTGGTCGGGGCATACTCTTGAGGCACAAGGCTGGATGGAGGCATTTCCACAATCTTCTTAATTTTCTGAACTGTGCGGATGTGCATGCAAAACGTAAGACTGCCAGGTCTCTCAACGCTCTCCAGAATACATGTCCGGAAATACTGAATGCGAAATATAATTGTTTGAAGGACGTGTGCTAAAAGAACCTCCTGACTAGAGGTTCATATGGATTCACTTTATCGATCTGCTGCACAGCCACAAGACTGGCACTGTCAGTTATGCTACAATGGGCTAAGAGTGAACTAATTTCTTGTTACTTGAAGCAAATGTACCATCGGCTTACAGGGTGAACCAGCACATTATACATATCCTTGAGATTGAATTGCTTTAGATATCCCCCCTGATGTACACAGCAGGTCAACATCCTGAAATACAACAACGGAATATATTGATTCAGTTGGCTTGTTCTATGGTTTGGAGTCTCCCCTCTTTTACTGCCCACTAAAACATTGGGGGAAAATAAAATAGTAGTCGGGCACCACATTCCGTTGCCAAAAACATTCTCACTTCCTGGAAAATCATGCAGAGACATTGACGCTGGTTTAGTCAATTGTGGCTTTCTGACTAACTTGAACTTGTAGCCATGCTTGTCTACTGAAAGGTCCCACAGCCGAAAAATTTTACGGGACAGCAAATGATGAACGGGAAACAAAATGAATCAGTGAATTAATGCCCCCGAAACACGCTACTAACACTTTAAACAGTTTTTTGTTGACCCCTGACCCGAACCACTTCCACATCAACAACCTTGTCCTCCATTACCACGATTGTTCCTGCAATCGTCGCCCAGACTGTCCATGTCCATGTGAACGAGATGACTTTTTATATGTAGCTGTCTTTAGTTTGCCTTCTTGAGTACACACATTATATTGGCGCATCTGTGGATCATTATTTCATTATGGTTGACTGCTGCTTCCGCTGAGGTCCTCAAATTGACAAGCTATACGAGATCTAAGGTTTGCATGTCCCTGTACATTGAATGTCCTTTCTCTAAATACATTATTCCGAGTAATGTCAGCCATGTAGACATGTAGACCATCCTTGAAAAAGAGACACCTGACAATTAGGAAATTATTGTACTGTCCCATCGAGTACAGCCTTGAAGCCAGAAACTGTAGCAGCACAATCGGATAATGCAATTTGTGTGGATATCATATCGAGTGTGTAGGACAGTGCCCTCTAGGAGATATGTGTACTGTCATCCAATTGGGCCCCTAATTACGATACTGTGACTTATTAACAAGGCAGGCCAGTGGGCCTCGTCTTTTTAACAAAATAAGAAAAGGAGATTGACTAATATTTTAAAGTAAAGCATATTTGGTCGTAGTTGGTGGGGCATGGGAGACTCCCAGAGTAAACGATCTGTGGAAAAGATACAAGGCAACATTCCTACATTTGTTCTAACAGTGATATCAATCATTCATAGTGGAGAATCGTGTAATTTTTTGTATTTGTTTTTATTATTGATAAGTTTTGAAATTACTTTTAATTTTCAAGAAGTTGTGTGCTTAGGTGACCGATAAATGTTTAAAGTAAAGCACACTCGGGCGTGGTTAGTATTGCATGGGAGACTCCCCAAGTAAACGAGCGGTGGAATTTATTTTTTTTGTTTCATGTCACAAACATGAAAAATATATACGGCAACATTTCTGATTTTTTTCTTCCTGTGATGTCAATCATTTATAATAGAAATCGTGGCATTTTTGTAACTTTTTTAACTAATGGAAAGTTTCGAAATTCCTTCTAATTTTCAAGTACAAGTTGTTGATGCTGTCGGCACATACTGGGTTTTAAGTTATTAACGCACCGTGCAAAGTTGTTCAAAGTCATTGAAAAGTTGTGCAAAGTTATTGCAAAGTTGGTGGATGTATTTGATTAAATGACCTAAGTTGTTGGCATACACAAACGTGCAGTTGTAAATTCAACAAATTTAATAAAGCCAATTGAAAGCAGCTTATAAATGTTCACTTGAGTTAACTGTAAAATGTTAGAAAACAGCGTGCAAAGTTGAAAAAAACGAAAAAAAATTTGGCGGAGTTGCTTGTATATATAATCTAAGTCATTATCACGACAACCCCGCAGTTAAATGTCGAAAACATTAAGTAAATGTTCCGAGAATGCCTGATATATAAAAAGATTATCACAACAGTCACCAAAAAGTCGACAACAAACTGCTTACAAAGTTGAGAAAAGCGATTGCAAAGTTGATAGTTTCATTCGGGATTGTTACCTGTGATATCATATTAACAAATCCCATAGTTAAAAGTTCGAAAGTGTGAATAAATGCTTCGTAAATTGATGTTAAAGTACCGTAGTCTTACTCCAAGTATGCAGAGGTCATAGGTCAGTTCTAGAAGATACTTGTGTAAGCGATATCGATTTTAAAACATCCCAAAACCAGAAATAGCGGCGATTTCGGTTTAATTGCAAATGATCTATGCAGCTGTGTGGTTAGGTGACCGATAAATGTTTAAACTAAAGCATAATCGGGCTTGGTTAGTACTTGCATGGGAGACTCCCCGAGTAAACGAGCTGCTGAATTATTTTTTTTTATTTCATCACATCATGGAAAAGATATACGACAACATTTCTGATTTTTTTCTTCCTGTGATGTATATCATTTATAGTAGAAAATCGTGGCATTTTTGTAACTTGTTTAACTATGGAAAGTTTAGATATTCCTTCTTATTTTCAAGTACAAGTTGTTGATGCTGTCGGCACGTAGTGGGTTTTAAGTTGTTAACGCACCGTGCAAAGTTGTTCAAAGTCATTGAAAAGTTGTGCAAAGTTATTGCAAATTTGGTGGATGTATTTGTATAAATGACCTAAGTTGATGGCATATAGAAACGCGCAGTTGTAAAGTCAACAAATAAAAGCCAGTTGAAAGCAGCTTATAAATGTTCACTTGAGTTGACTGTAAAATGTTAGAAAACAGCGTGCAAAGTTGGAAAAAACGAAAGAAATGTTGGCGGAGTTGCTTTTATATATAACCTAAATCATTATCACGACAACCCCGCAGTTAAATGTCGAAAACATTAAGTAAATGATCCGAGAATGACTCATATATAACAAGATTATCACAACAGTCACCGAAAACACTGGGCAAAATCGTTGGTATACGGCGGGTACATTAGCGTATTCGCACACGTATATTCCCGATATTCGAAGATATACGTTAGTCAGCGCACACGTACATTCAACGTATGTACGGGGAATACGCAACGTATATTCACACATTCGGAACATACTGATACGTAAATATACACAGCAGTGTATTTACGGAGACCGGAAATATACAGTGCGCACATTAACGTACACCTAATGCAGAACAAAGCTGTCTAACGTATTCCTACGTATACGT